AATAATCAATAATAAATTATTATAAGACATTGAAATTGGACCAACAAAGAAATTTATATATGGGTGAAGGGGGAGGTGGGAGGAGGGTTAATATTACTCTAATCGTGTCTGTTGTGATTCCTTCAACGTTCATATATAAATCATCAACGTGATCACGATAGAGCGCAGATGCAGGAGGGAGCGAATGACGCTTCTGTTAGTGTTTAATGTCATGCGTCCGGAGAGCATGAAATCGACTATTTCTAGACTAGTCGGAAAATAGCAGCGACACGATGCAACGTGGAGAGACCGCTGTTAAAAAGCCGCACCGATTACGCGATCGACGTGCGAATTGCATTTCTATCTATCTCTCTCTCCGCTTCGTGGATAGCGTACATACGGTGGGCGTAACGAAATTAAACTCTCTTGCGGGTAGTGAATCGAGCTTAAACGCGGTCCAGATTAGTTCGCGCCGCGCTGCCATTACATTCGCGACCAGAGCGATTTATTGCTTTCATATTCTTTTCAAACAATTAGTTTAACGATAAGTAATGGGTGATTCTTGATTTTTTAAATCAATAAATATTTCGACGAACATATGTGAATTATTTTCTGTGATAAAAAATATTTATTTCGAGTAATGCGGTCTATCTTTAATAAAAAAAAAAAATTATTATGCGGTTTATCTTTAAATAAAAAAAAAAAATTATTATCATTTATTCGATTTTATTTCCATATTAAAAGAGTGATGTGAATCTTATTTAAAATATGAGCGCACCGTGGCCGATACATCGTGAATTATTGTATCGAAAACAATTCGAACGATCGCGAGCGGTGAGTCTGAGAAAATTTTCATTCGTATTCTTTTTGTTTCGTCCGACAATTTCTTCGATAAATTACTGAATCGTAACGAATTGACAACTCTTAGCTTGAAGCTGGTCTGACATTCTGAGAAACGTGCATGGAACAACGTTCGTCTGACGTAAATGCCTTTGGAAATATCCGGTGTGATTGTTGAAAATATTCCAGTCATATTCGAAAAGCCGTATGTTTAAAATTGAAAATTTGTTTACGCCGAGAATTTTCAAAATATCACACGCGACCGCCTAAGAATAAAACAAAGCTGGCCTCGTGTGACTGAATATTCGTCACTTTTGTAAACGAAAAGTCGAAAGTCGTCGAGAAAACTTTTCACACACGCAAGATTAAATTATTATAAAAAGCACATGTGACAAAATGTTATATAATATATTTTATTAAAGAGATTAAATATGTTTAAATTTAATGGAATGTAAAAATTGCGACTGTTATTAATTGTTCTCAGAACGAAATGACGAATGCATTTCGAACATCGAATGAGACGGACAATCTTTTCGGATTTAATCTTTAATAGGATTGGAGTAGCAAATCGAGCTTAATAAGTCGCACAATTGGCGGCCGTGACGACACGCTCGAATTATATTTAGAAAAATACGTCAAGAGAGCCTGAGGGAAAG